GTTGCTTAGAACTATGATGTATAAGTTGTTATGATAAACAATGAAGTGCTACTTCTGTCATTTGAAATAATGTATCATATATTAACTTCAAAATAGATGATTGTCTCATTTTAACTACCTGTTGTTACTTCCATTTCTTCTGATGTTGATATGTTTTCACTGTTTGTCTTTTTTGTTTCGATGATAGCAATTGGAATTGTTATAATTATAGCAAGTACAATAATAGTAAATATGATCCACATTACTTTTCTTCTTTTCAGATATTTACATCTAGAATAAGAAATCTTTTTTATCATTGTCTATAATTCATAAGATACATACAATGTGTTTGGTTGCGTTGCATTCGAAGTAATTGTTCCAGACTAAAATAATCAAAAAAACAAACTATTATATTTTATACTTTTTTCTTTTTCTCAATAAATTACATCATCAACAACTTCTATTCTGTTGTTATTGTCCATTGTTGATATTTTATTGAAAATTTAATACTTTTACAATCTAAAATCAACAAACGCATTTTCTCATTTATACATTTTCAGTCATTCATAATATAATCACAAAGAAGCTAAACTGTTTATTTGAGTATCTTTTCTGAAAGAATCATTTGTGTTTCTCATTAATTGTTGAAATCTATATTTCAAGTAATATCTAATATTCCTTACTGATCAATCTGATGGTATAAAAAAACAGACTTAGATATTGTTTTTCTCACTTATCAGTTTTTCATCTCAATTTCAACTAGAAATTCATTAAAATGGCAGAAAAGATATGTATCATGGTCTCTCTTTCTCTTTCTTAAATAATCAGTTCTTTTATGACGTATATCATTATGTTACTGTAAAACATTTGCAGCAAAATATCATATATCAATAAAAACAATCAGCTCACTTCCTTTTGCAATGTTGGTTTTCAAAAAAAAACAACTCTTGTCAGATAGAGTTTTTATCTCTTATAAATATGAAATTATTTGGGACAATATTTAGTGTAATTATTATTAGCTAATAAAACATTGAAAAATCAGCACTGCTCAAAGGATATGCAACATTTTCTCACAGAGAAAAGAAGCTGATGTTAAAATGTTCTACTATACACAAAAAAAATTTCGAAAATAATTGAGAATTAGACAATAATTATAGTTAAAAATGGGTTTTCGTTTGATTTTATCGTATGCGATGATTATGAAAATAGCATTGATTATCTTAACATCGTTTCTTCACTTCAAAAAGAGATCGATCTTCATTGTACGATTTGTTATTCATTGATTTTTAATTGGAAGTCGATAAAGAACACTGAAGAAAACTATAATCATAGTCATATGAAATACATCGATTCTTTGAATAATTGTATTTAGATGTGACTGTCGGTGATTTTGGATATTATAGTTGTCTCTCAATATTCTCCACATTGTGAAAAGTTATTTATGTTCTTTGAATCATTTTTCTCACTGGAGAAAAACAAAATATCATATATATTTCTTATTTTGTGATTGAAGATGAATGTAGACAAAGTGAGCATCAAGGAAACAGCAATTATATCAATACTGAATTATTTTGTCGACGCAATATCTTTTCAACAATAATTTCATAACTAACAACGTAGTTACAGCTTAACTCTATAGACTTTCAAATGAATGAATGAAAAGTAATAAAATATTGTTCAAATACATTCTTTTTTTCAGGAAACTTTACATTTCCTTCAAAAAGTGCTGATTTTTAATGTTTTTTTTTATATAAAAATAATGATATTAACTGTTATTTGAACTAGTTTACGTCATATGCTACCTCGTAGAGTTTGATATTTACAAGAGATATTAATATTTTTATTTAAAACTGATCTGGAAGAAGAAAGTGCTGATCTTATTGTTGTCATCAACATATGATATTTTGTCATAAATATTTTACGTATAAAGACGATGATATACAGTGAGCATCAGAATTATTCATTCATTATTATCTTTATTTTAAATGAAATAAATACATAAAAATAAAGTGAAAGATATCATTTGAGAATCCATTTATTGATACTTAATAATTAAGTAGTGTCGAACATAGTTGATGATTCTACTAAATAGAATGAGAAGAATTTCATTTGTTTTCTAATGATTAATATTTTTATGTTATTATTGATCATTTGATGAAAAATGTTGCAAATAATTTGTAAAATTGATTCGTTTTTTGTTGATATCTACATAATAAAACATATTCTTCTGCATTTTTTCATTTATTATTATTAATATTTGTCTTTTGTTGAATAAAATAAAAACAATTTGTTTCTTTTTAGTTACATTCTCCAATCATTAACTATAGAATTGGCTTGACTCATAGAAAAACTCTTCTATATTTTATTGAAAACTGAACAAGAGAAAAACAAAAAGTTTATTTTCTCTCTCTATTCGCCTACCTAATGACGTCAATGGGAATTTTCTTTTTTTTTGAAATATTTGCAGCAAATACAACATTTGAAGTTAATAATAAAGAAAAACAATAAATCTGTTTCCTTTTTCAAAACTAATATGAAATATCAGGGATTATCTGTTGTAAATATAAAAATGTTCATGATATTGAAATGTTTGTAGGAAGGATGTGAAAACAAAGTGTTTCAGACAAAATGTAATGTTATTCTTGTTAAGACTACATCGAAAATCATACCTTAACGAAGGAAATACAATGTTTCCTGAAGAATAAAATTTATCGACATTATCTGTTATCAGAAATATATTGCATAACTGATTTTAGTCTTTTGTTTCACACATTAGATAAATGATAAGAAGAGTGCAGTTGTTGATCTTTAGAATGAATCTTTATCAAATACTATTCAACAATATGAATATCATCAAAATACATCAAATCTATGTGAAATAAATACATAAATAAAATAATTAGAATTCAACAAAATCAACTGAAGTCATAATTTTATTATCTTTTGAAACTGTTCATCATGACGAGTAATTATTTCTTTTATATATTTTAGAAATAGGAAACATTCTAGAGAAGAAAAATAAAAACAATGCGTTATCTTGAGGGTGTGGGTTAGATATGGCCATAACACACACCCTTAAGATGAACCATGAACGTATTTATTCCAACTATATAAAGACTGAACCATAAAGTTTCGATTCTTTCCTCTAATGATTTGCAGATACAAAAATACTCAGACATTGACACATAAGTCCTAATAAATAATCATGGGTAGAGTAATGAATTTTATATTCATTTGTTTTAAAGTACTGTGATGTCCACTAAAATCTTGAATTAATAACATCAGATTGAACATCTTGTATATTCTTTCGAAATTTTTTGAAAGTAATAAACCATATTTGAATTAAATGGCATGACATGAATATAATCAATATCAAAACGATGACCCATGTCTACATGAAAATAAATATAGGAAATACAGAATTTAAATATATATTCGAAGAGTCTCACTCTCCACGATTGAGATACATCTGTTGTTAAATGAACAAGTCCATATTGAATACAAGTGATAACTCCTGCTGATGTCCACATAATACCAGTTAATCTACCGATATATTCAGATGGAAAACTAAACCAAATAGAGAAATTTATGAAGAAAAGAACTATTATCTTAGCTACTTACAATATAGAAATAGCTGCTTGTGAACCAGCTACAATCACTGAACGACCAATATAGTTAAAAATTAATGCAGGAATAATAGCGGTAGATTTGACAAACATACAAATAATACATGCTATTATATTTAAAATCCATGCACATGTCTGAACAATCGAAGCATTCAGTAGCTTCTGTTCTGGATCTAAATCGAATTTTTTTGAGTATGTATGTATGTATAATATTTATTTATCAGTTTTAACACATACTCTTTTCTGCTCGAAATGCAAGAAGAAAACCAACGATTGGACAAAGAACTATTTGAGATAAGGATGCCATATTGAATGCAAATGTATATTTATCACCTACAAGAAATTTATTTCAATATACTAATTGATATTGTAGAATTATTTTTTTCTTTGTCATCTTATGATAAATATTTTAGCTGACCATCTAGTCTCATGAGAATTATTATATATATCAAAATTATTCAAAAAAGAAAATATTTACTGATTATTTTATCATTATGATTGATATAATAAACCCATGGATACCAAGTGACTGACAGAAGAATATTCGGCATTAACAAAATACTTAAGTACAGAACAATCAGAATATACAATGGATTAGTTAAACACTTCCAAAATCCAACTCGTGGATAGATATTTGTATACCACTAGGGTGTGGGTGCGGAAAGGAGAGAATACCTACACCCACACCCACACTCCCAAGATGTCATTATAAAAACAGTATTCATAGGTTTTTCTATAGATAAACAAATAAGTTTAATCAAAACAAAAATATGAATTTCTTTCAAGAAACAAGTTTACACCAGTTTCATGACTGCTACAAAAGATAATTAAAAAGCCGTTTCAATTTCTGAAAAAGCAGAAGTTTAGATTTTAAAATAAATGTTCATAATTTGATGAAGACATTATTTAAGAACGTCAAGAACTTTGTCTGATTGTGATACCCAACCAAATATACCTCCTTGTGCCTTGATCATATCTAGAGCTGCTACTTGAAACTTTTCAAAATACGATCCGACACAATCCTCAAGAACAAGACATTCATAGCCTCGATCATTAGCTTCACGTACAGTAGTACTGACACAAACTTCAGTAGTTACTCCAGTAACGATCAACTGTTTTATATTGTAATTCGTAAGGATAGCATCAAGATCAGTTGCATAGAATGCACCTTTTCCACATTTATCAATGATCGGTTCACCAGGTAATGGATAAAGCTCTGGAACAATATCATGTCCAGGTTCACCTCGTACTAAAATGCGACCCATCGGACCTACATCACCAATACACATTTTACCTCGACCACGAATCTTCTTTGTTAATGGAAGATCAGATAAGTCTGAACGATGACCTTCACGAGTATGTATAACCTGTAAGCCACAAGTTCGCCACGCTGCCAATAGTTTCTGATTTGGACCAAGTGTACGACGGAGTTGCCCAACATCATTGCCAAGCATTGCACCAAAACCATCAGGTTCTAAAAAGTCTCGCTGCATATCAATAATCAGTAATGCGCATTGGTTTGGTATGAATTCGAATGAATATGGTTCAGCTGTTACAGTTAAAGTTTTATTAGAATCCATTCTAACGGAATCTTCTGCTATACTGTTAAGATGATAATCACAATCTCAAATAATATTAGTATCTATGAACCAAAAAAGAAACAAATATCTAAAATATTTAGATAAGAAGAGTAAAGCTTTTCATTGCAGATGTGGATGTACGTATCGTATTTATATCACATTCACATTGACACTCATACCCAAACGCACACTTACGCTCACGGCATATTTAATTGGTATTCTATAACTACAATAGCCAATTAAAGCCCGAAAAAATGAAAGTATTAGATACAAATTAGTGTGATTCTTAAATATGTCATTTTTAGAAATCGATATCGTATAAAAGAAACAGTGTAATTCATTTTTAAGTCTTTATAATAGTCTATGCCGATAGTTTTTGACTCACTAATTCTGTTGAACCAAACTAACATGAGCAGCAACGACTTTCCAGCCATTACCAACATCGGAAACCGATCCTAATCTAGCCCATGTTTGCATTTGCCGACCGCGTGTTGACATTTCGGCATCATTGCTAAATTCGGTACTAACTGTCGCAAAATCAGTGCCATAGGTTGTAATAATTGTACGATGAAGTTGCCGTTGTGGTGATACTGGTTGCGCGTTAGCACGCCATTCACAAATTGCTTCCCCACCATGCTGAATATCAGCGATACCATAGCGAACTGTTTCAGGCGCATTCCAGAATAGCATATTCATCGTACTTACGTCATTTTCGATCAAAGCTTGTTCATATATGGTAAATGCTGCCTTTACTTGCGCAACCACTTCAGGTTTATTAATTTCGATGGTCATTAAATATGATGAAAAAATAACTTTGCCTTTTTACCACCTGTCCACGTTGATGTAAAATATTTATCTTCTTCTTCTATATGAAAATGTATGATAGACTATCTATATCTTGTTGTTCTGTTATCTAAGAATATTTGTTAACCTTGAAAAGTATATTACTTGCTTTGTAGATTCAAGTCGCTGCTGGAGTTTCTTTCACAAGAAATAGAAATATGAAGAACCATCTTGAGGGTGGATGTCGTGTGTTACAAATATATCGTTATTAATGCTCTTACCCACATCTACATTCTCACCGTCAAGATAATAAATTTATGCATTTATCAAGTCAAAAAGTTACTGAGTAAGGGACTCTAAATTTTTTTTATTCAATCACTCCTTTGAAAAATATAGTCAAAACTCACCACTTTGATATTAGTTCAAAGCTTGTCTCGGTGTACAAAAGATCTTGACGATTTTTGTTTTGTAGCGTGTTGTAACCAACAAATAATGTTAGAATGACAAAACTTTTTTTTACAGAACAGACAGGCGAAAAAAAACAGTTTGTAACTTCAAAAAAAAGAAACAGTTGAAACAGAAACATGGAGGAAAACCTGTTTTTCTTTGTGTCGAACAAAAAAATACTGATTTTCATGTTCCAGTATGAGAAGAAAAGATGAAAGAAAAATTCATCTTTTCACATAGATTCTTGAATAAACACTCTTTCTTACACATTCCCCAGAATCATAAGCTCTGAAAAAACAGAGTCGCTACTAAGAGCCAAATTTTTTGTATACATAGAATGAGGGTCTGGTTGTTAATAGCGACAAAAAGAGAGAGACCTACAGTTACAACTCTTGCTTAAACGCACACCCTCAAGATAAAACATACGATATTTTCTTTAATTGTATACTAAATTCATGAGCTATTTTAGAATTAGAAAACATATGACGAAAAACATCGCCAATTTCATTACACGAGTTGAAACTAAAACTACGTTGAATAACCATCTTGGCCCACCCTACTTTTGCTTTGACAATCTGCTCCTGAAAATTAAATACCACTAGTCCCAGCATATTGTCTAAACGATCTTTTTTTTTCATATGTTGTGGAATAGCACCCCATCCTTGATTAGAACAATCTAAATCATGTGTTTTGCATATAGCATATTGAAATGTTGATATTTTTCACTATTTTTAACCATAATTCAATTTAGCACCTTCATCATCCATTTTTTCAAATCAACTTTGTTTAAAATTAGTGTTTTTCGGCATTCATATTTAAAAAAATATGATAAATCAAAGATTTCTTTTTTTCTAATTATTAATGTCAAATCTAAAACTACACATAGAAATATAACAGAAAAATATCGATTATCCCTTGTATTCAAGATCTGTTCACTAATACCGAACTAAATACCCTAGTGCCTTTATAATCTCGATTATCTAATATGAAACAGCCTGTCTATAATTGCTACAATTTATATAATATGTTATAAGCACTGACGACAGTATATATTCACAACTTGCATAGCAATTTTCTCAATCGTTATGTGGCTTTTCTCGCACAAATATTCGATTTTCTACAAAAATATAGGAAATATAATCCGGCAACAAAGTCAGTAAATTTCATAAAATTATGCCAGTTGTTCTTCCTCCTACATTGAATTTAATGATCTATTTCTATTTTCTATATCTTAGTACCCTCTAGCAAACATCTAAGTATGATGATTAAACACTGAGAAGTGATTGTGAGACATCTCATAAAACAATATCGCACCTTGTCTGAATTCGAGATTAGGAGACTACAAATGGCTCCTACACATTATAAAAAATTACGACTCGTCATAACTGCAATATGTCTAAGCTCATCAATGCATCATGAATAAATGAGCATTCCTTTCATTTCCTTCCTATTCATGATGAATAGGGTGTGGGTGTAGGGTGGAGGTGTGAGCGTGAATGTTCAGTGTCATCATATCCACCCAAACCCATACATACAAAAATATACATATAGCCATATACACAATAAACGTTGTTACGCAAACTTACATGAAATTACTTTTCACTCAAATTGATTAAAGTCTCTAGATTATTGATATTTCATACGTTATTATATAAAAGTAGAATTCAACAACTTGAGTATATATCTATATTTTCAAATTGGTCGCGGAATGAATTAACAATGTTCACGTATACGATTATGTTGTACAAGGTGATGATGTATATGATCACAGGTATATTTTTGGGTTCGTGTTCGTGTTTTGTGTAAAATCTGTTATTTGATATCATTGTTAAAGGCTGATAATAATCGAAAAAAGATCGAAAATTTTCGAAAAAGAAGATTTAAAGAAGAAACTACTTAAAATTACTTTTCATTCAAATCAAATGAAATCTAAAGATTATTGATATATCATAAGCAAGTAAGAACATATAGAGTGGATTCTTTTTGTATATTGTAATCACTCAACGTTCGTTCATCTTCTAGTTGTTTACCGGCAAAAATTAATCGCTGTTGATCGGGTGTTATTCCTT